TTTTAAAAATTTTTGTTCCTTCATTTCGTTGAAGCGGAGATTCATTATAACCGACTGATTTTTTTACCGAATTTTAAATAAATCGAATTTTTACACTTCGTTTAATGGATTGACTTTGTATTTAAGAATTTCTCCATAACAGAATGAATTCAATCTGAATATTGCAAGTACTTTTAAAAATCTTATACAATTCTGGGAAAAATTAAGATCGGTTAAATTTATTTAAAATAAAATTGTTTTGCATAATAATTTTATTTAAAATTTATTTTTTGTAATTTATTTTTTATAATATATAATTGAAGCTTTATATTTTATAAATATCTAATTTTATTCATTTTTTATAATATTAATTCAACAATTTTGTTTGTTCAAAAAATTATAAATAAATTTTTTTATGATTTTTTAAGATGTATACAATATTTTAGAAAATAACTATAATTATATCAGCTGAACAACTTAATGACTAAAGGCAGATTTTTTTATATATATTTTGTAAATATTCCAATTTCATACATTTGTAAAATCTTTAATATCTCAAAAATTACCTTAGAAAACGGGTATTGTGTTTGTTCAACTGATTAATTTACGTTTAGAATAAAGATTTCAGAGAAATAAATATTAATATTGATTTTAACGATCATCCCGCCATTGCTTTCCGCCAGAGCTGTATTTCTAAAATTCGCCTTAAGTGAAAACTTAACAAATTATTTGGTATGTCGATTAATATTCTTATTGGTTATTTAGGCTAAATTTCAGAATTCATCTAATAAATCACAAGCTAAAATTTAGAGCCTTTATGGAGTTTAAGTCAACATAAAAAAATGTAACATAAAAAATCTAAAAACAATAATTTTCGCGAAAAATCAATTCTTTACTCGAATTTATATTAGCTTTTTAGGTTCACTAATATATTGATTTTGTCTCAAATTTGACATAAGTTCGCTAAGCATTTTCGCGCTTTACCTAAAATACACTATTTATGCCTAATGCTATTCTAACTGATAATTAATAACATGACTTTTTACTTAATTCTTTTCACTAAGTTACAATTTAATATAAATTGAATGTGTGTCAAATTTTCTCAATTTCAAAATTTATGTTATTTACTAAAATTTTGCCTAAAATTTTAATTAAATATATCGTCTTCGATTTCATAATTTATGCTATTTACCAAAATAGTGCGAAAACTTTTATCAAAATAATAATATTATTATTATGGTCAAAGTTTTTCTTTTTTAAAGTTACCAAAATATTTGTGTTATATTATTTATGTCTGAAGCCTCGAATTTATGCTGAATTTTGTCAAATTAATATAAATATCGAAAAAGTCACCAAGTTTTTAATTTGCTAATTTCAATATTTATATATTATTTAATTTATAAAATTAATTAGGTTAATTAATTGTCTAATATGCGGATTCTGATGTAAACTTTTCAAAACTTGGTTTTAATAATTAATTGTGATAATGCCCATATTTTAATCACAATTCATTCACGGACTTGATTTCTGATTTGGAATATAATCTAAATCGGTAAAAAATTTTTTGTATATATCGTGTCAGAATTATTATTCACATACTTATCATTGTGATTTCATAAAACGTTATTTGGTTGGCTGACTAGCCATTTTCTATCCAAATATTTTATCGTTATACGTAGGGCGCTCCAATCAAATATAATGCCGCATACATGTACATGCGTCAGTACAGCCTTGACAAATCTTTATTCTTAGTGGTTAAAAAAGCTATAAATAAATAAATAATAAAAAGACACTAAAAGAGTATATATTATATATCGACGATGACTTACAGTTATTATGACATACAATTGGATGATTTTCCCGCGCCTGTCATCATCGTCATATAATCCAATCGCATAATAATAGTATATTTGCTGCACGTAATTAAAAAAGGAAGTAAACATTAATTTGAAAAAGTCAGTTGACTATTTTTCGCCAAAAGAAAACGGGTGATCGTACAAAACTTTCACAGCACAACGGGGTTAAATCAATTATAAAAATCCAGTCTTTTCATTTATTTACTTGTCACCGTTTACAAATATCAGTCAAATCGGAATCGAATTTAACTTTACACCGTGCAACTCAACTCATGTACCCCAACAAAACTTGTGGTTATCAGATTATTTAACTTGTGTGCCCCAAAGCAAAAAATTTAGGGGTGCTTCTTAAGTGGCTATAATAGGTAAAAATGCGGTGCGGTGTCGACAATCTTTTTCGCCAAAAAATTCACAGTACAACGTGCATCCTTTTTTCATTTATTACTTGTCACCGCCGGTATCAGAGTAAAGTCAATCGGAATCGAATTTAACTATATACCGCAACTTATGGTAATCAGATATTTAACTTGTGTATCCCAAATCAAAAAAAATTGGGGTGTTTCTTAAGTGGCTATAATAGGTAAAAATGCGGTGCGGTGTCGACAATCTTTTTAATTTGAATGATTTGTACCAGGAAAGGGATTAGTTTTAAAGTTTATTCGAAATATTATAATCTGATTATAATTTTGACATTTTTTTTACTTAGTCAATTATGTCTTTGTCTCAAACTTTTGTTTTTCTGCTGCTGCAAGATACCTTTAAGACAGACTAGACTCATCTCGCAATAAAAAAAGCAAGATTTGCATATTTTTCGGTATCTTAGCAATATGATTGATCCCTTCAATATCTCAATCAATTAATAATAGAAAAATTAAAACTTGCTTGAATTCCTGTTTATTTTTTCGTGTTTCATGTTTTGCATTTTACTTTGGCGTATTTTTAAAAAAGATAAAGTTTACTAACTAGATTTGGGGCTTGCAAAATTAACATTATCATAATAACCGTTACTATGTATCATCAAATATTACTGATTGATTGGAAAAACGCCGAATTCAAGTTTCGAACACAACTCTTCTTTCATTATTATTAAACGCACGTATTTTATTAAACTGCATTGAGGCTATGTTAATTCTAGGTACGTGTACATATACATATACATATATACAAATACATGCCAATTATTCCCCGAATGTTTGTAAAAAAAAAACTTTATTTTCGGCACGACGTTTTTAAATGTGTTATATCGAAGAATAATGAGAAATTTATATTCGCCTACTCATCAACGCACCATCACTTCAAGGAGTCTTTCTAATTAAAAGATCGAATTCTCACGCATTTATTTCAGTGATTAGACGATAACGCCATTAAAAAGAAACAAGATGCAAAGAAAAATCTTATTTTTTGACAGGTCACGGATCAAGTAAACATGCGGCATTTTTAGGACAAGCATGCTTGTGTGTGAGCATTGTTTGGATTTTTCTCAATTGGGGAGTTTTAATAATAAGAGAAAATAGTAAATATTTGGATGAGAAATTTCTTTAAAAAAATTAGTTCCCTCTTACGACACTTTTTTGCTTGTGTATCGTTATTACGTTGTTTGTTCGAACTCGCGTGTACACGCGATACTGAATTTTCTTTTTAATGACGATATGTAGATGTTGTACGGACAATGTATTCAATGAGATAGATAATAAATTTCCGAAAATAATTTTTAATAAAAAGATCTTAGCAATGAAACTAAGTTAAACTATGCTAGAATCGTATCCCAACCTGTTTCAAAACATGAAGATAATAATGACGTATACACTAACTGTTCACACCGACGATTAATGCAAAGCCACGGAAACCACCGGCCTAATTTGATTGTAAGAAGAAAAAAGTCTAGTCAAGAAACTCTATTTCGAAAGCAAAAACACGCGAAAATCTAACCGGTTTTTTAATACATGGGTGTTATGTGCGAATATTTGTAAAAAGAAAGTGAGCGGATGATTGATTTGAATATGGAATACTTACAACAATAATCGATGACAATAGCAATTATAATTCATACATATATCCCGCATTGACCAAGTTTTTCTTTGGGATCTTCTGTTTATCATCACCATTCAATCAACCATTCATCAGATCCAAATTCAACCCTTGCATAAATGCACGCGCAAGCAAATGAAAAAAAAAAACGAAACAATAGCTGTCAAAAAAAAACTCATGATGTAAAAAAATACACACACACACAGACTAAAGTTGATTCCCGCGTTTTGTTTTTGTTGGATATTCTCTCCAGAATTGTCATGATGAATTCATTCAAAATTTTAGCATTATCTACACCTCTAAATCTCCCTTAAAACGAGCGATTGAAAGATTTCAATAACAACAAATAATAACATTACGGAATTCCCGATCCGAATGCATGGTACATATTCCCACAACTAAATTTTTGTTTATCAGTCATAGAGCCGCAGTTACTTTTGCATAAGTAAACTCAAACGGGATTTTTCAATTAAATCGGGTCAAATTGATCATCCCCAAAACCTTAAATTTTTTTCGTTTTTTTTTTTTATAATCAATTTTAATTAATTGATCAAATTAATTAAAACAAAACAGCGTCCGCGCCCCCAAACTATTCTTGCTTCATTCTATAGATTCTATTAATCATATTGTTATTCATTTGTTTAACAACAAAAACAACGACGATAAAGATGAAGATGGAGATGATTATTCTTTCTAGTTTTCAATGTTGGTGACTATTATATAGATGAGGTATCACAAATTTACCGGTTGTGTCTCATAATATTTGTCCGATGCTAAAAATCATATTCCATGAACTGATTATCACTCTCATGTGACTATCCGAAGAAATTACGTACATGACACGGAAAACACGGAAAATCATCGTGCGCATATTCTCTAATTAAAATGATTATTTTTACATCTAAACTAAGAATTATCATAATTTCAGATTACAAACGTTAGAGTTCAAGAGGCAAAGAACGATCAATTGGCAAGATAATTATTCTTTCATGGTCAAAATTCAACCTTGATTTTATTGATTAATTTTTTTCATGTATACATCACATTATTTCTCATTGACATTTTGGTCAAACAAAAAACCTCTTTACATGATAATTAAGAAATCTATCACTTGATATATAATAATGATATATCAATCTATATTAAAGAAAAAATTTGATAAGGTGTACGGATCCAAAGACTCGAAACCGTTCCCAAAAGTAAACAAGCAAAAAAAAGCTGCACTTTAGAATAATTCTAAATAATAAGTATAAATAGATACACATATATAATCAGACACACGGATATTCAAATGTTGACGTCGAACACACCCGGTAATTCCGAGGAACAACGAACAGAACAGAACAGAACAGAACAGATGGAACCCCGAATATGCCGTCTCATTAAATATGTATGCTTATATATATGTGCAAATAAAAATAAATATCGAAAGAAAAAAATAAAGGAGATAGTTTCATGTTGTTTACTGTGTATGGGGGGCCGTCTTTGTTTCTGATGATTAAGGATGTAAAGTAGGTACACATGAAGTTTCTAGAAGGGGATGCTAAATAGAGCTGAGGTTTTTTTTCCAAGAAGTCACTCTAAACAAATAATATTATTACACACGAAAAAAACGTAAAAGTATAAAAATGTAAAAAGAGAAAAAAAAATAAAAATTTTCAGACAAGAGAGGAAATATAATAAGAAAAGGTACCTATAAAATTAGAGCTCTTTGTAATAATCGATATTCCTTTGGCATTGACTATCATTATTCAGAATGAAAAAATCAAGTCGCCGCCAAAAGAAATAATAATGTATAACGGAAGAATAAGCGGGGAGTAAAGTATCGAATAAAAAAATTTACAAATTTAAAAAGAAAACTTTGTACAAAGAAAAAATACGAAAATACCAAACGATGATTGGTATTATATTTGTGTATGATGAAAAATTATGATGTTGTATTGTATTATATTATTATTATGCATCGAATGATGAAAATGATAATAAAAAAAATGAAATGAATTATTATTACTACTGCTGCTGATATGATGTTACGAATGCAAACGAAAAAAAATTAAAAAAAAAATGCAAAAATCACAAAACACACAATTGAATAATTATTGAAAAATGTAGTGATGACTGCTATAATCGATATAGAGTCAAATTGTGTCTAGTCGGTAATGGATGTGAATTGTTTAGGCTAACAAATCCACAAGTGTAAATGCTTAGATGAAGGTGTGATATTAAAAATATGAAGGGAAATGTATTATTATGCTGAATGCAGAAAATGAAGAAAATGCTGATTTCGAATTGTCGGATAATTTGAATGATTCAATCGTTTTTTTAAACATTCCTCAAATCCATGTCAAGTAAATTCGAGAAAATCCCTCAAGCAAACATTCGACTGAGTGACCGGTGTTAAATCACGACATCAAATGAATGCTCTCGGGAATGAAACGAATCACGAGAGCATAGAAGAGAATGAACGAGAAAAAGAAACGAAAGAGAAGCTTAGATTTTATAATGATAAGTATAATGTTTTTGGTGGTATTGATTATTATTTATTTATACAAGTAGACGTTGAAAGGTGAATGAGATGATTATGAATATGTGAGTGAGATGATTAATTATGATGATTAAGGTAAGGTTTTGAATTACTACTGTTGAATGAAAAATATTTACTACTGCAAAAAAAAAATTGAGAACATTTTACGATTTTGATCATTTGAATAGGACCGCATTCGAAAAATTATATTAGAACAGAACATTAAAGTGTATGAATAAGAATAGTGTTAAAGTGTATATAATAATAGTATTGATTGAAATGCTGAGAACAGAACGTGGTGAATGATTTGTTGCACAATGGTATCAACTAATGAGAAAGAACACGCGACTAGCTAGATTCACGTGTTTTAAAAGATTGGAAAGGTTTTAAGTTGTCGTTTTTTGAGTCCATCACAAAAGAACGACGATAAGAAAAGGTGTCTTGAAACGACATTGAACTATGAAATAATCATTAAAAAGTAGTTGTCATTAAAACTGATACAGAATCATCCAACGACCGATCAATTATCGTCGTATATATTCAGATCTCTGTTTTGAAAGATATTTTGTTGCACTGTTGACTTCTCTCAAAATTGATCTCGATAATTCGACTCTTTTCTGACCTTGGTGATCGTGGTGATCGTTTTTGTACCATTGGATATCAAGCATTAATTGCATGATTGAAAATAGTTAATTAATTAGTTAATTAATTAATTAAATAAATTAAAAAGGGGAGACATTTGTTATAAACAAATATAGAGTAGAGAACAACAATGTAGAAACATTGAAAAAAAAACCTTAAAGTGACCCTTTTTCTTTTTACTGAAAAAAGGACAGGTTTCTTTTCGAGAACAAGAAAAATTGATTTTCTTTTCTCTGATTAAAAAAAGGTGTCGACGTTTGATTTTTGAAATAGCTTAGATGTTGATGAGAAAAAGATGATATACTAAATGTATATTTTATAGGTGAAATGCAAGAGGATGATGATGATGTAATGTTATGTAATGACTAATGCCCCATTAATATATACAATCAAGATTGCCGTATATATTAAACGACATTCTTTAAGGAAGCCCAAAGGAGATAAGTAAAAGATCCCATGAATAAAACCAAAATGAATAATAAAAACCCCAATTGTTTATGCTGAGAAATCCAAAAAGATCGTCCATATGTTGATATCAATCGACGCGCGCGCCAAAAATTAAAATGTAATTAAGGAAATTATATTGTATAATATAATATATTATATTGCACACTAAAAATGTTGTAATTGTTCCGAGTATATATATATATATATATATATTTACATAATTTACATTATGCTACTATCCCATAGCATAGCACCGAACCAACTAACAACATCTTTAGCATTCTCGGCAATATTTACACATCTTGCTACGATGCTTGCATTTTTTGACGCGTCTTTGTCGAGATCTTCGACAACTGGGGGAGGACAGAATGGGTCGACTTCTTTTTCTTGTTTGTCGACAGTTTTATTCGATGATTTTTTATTATTGGTGGAGAAACTTTCATCATCATCGTCATCAGACAAAAGTTCAGCGTCGTAGATTGGTTTGCTGTATTGTGTTGATTGTCTTCTGCGAGTGGTTGATTGCATTGATGATACTCTGGCAGCGGCCAACATCTTTTGATATTCCATTGCTCCATTAGTGGTGGCGTCGGTTGTCATGTGACTAGCCGCAGCAGTTTTCTTTGCGATGGCGTCCATTGTGGCTTGATAAGCGGCGATCGGACTATTGTCTGGAACGATACTAGCACCTTTTTTGTCTTCGCAGAAAAGACTATATGAACCAGAATCCTTGACCTGAGATTTCGCCCATTTAAAGATTTGGTTATAGTCATTGCAGCTGTCCATCATTCCGACGCCTTTAATGCCAATTGCCACGCCAGCGCCACCCTTTGGTGGAATCTTCTCCGGTTCATCCTCATCTTCATCGATTAAATTCTTTTTCGTGGATCGTCGTCTCGTAGGCGGTTTCGTATAATTTGTTGGAGCGTAATAATGAACTTGCTCCAATTTGCTGCTGAATCTCAATGATTTTTTGTTCTTTGGTATGCGTACCGGCATAGTGTTACGACGAGTTTGTGAATGATCTGGAAAACCAGTCGACGAATCGGAGCTGGATCCGCTATCCGAGTCTTCCGCATCCGTAACATCGGATTCTTCCGATGAAGACGAATATTCCGCGGCGTCGAAATTGTATGGATGACCGACGCTGGTAACTGATTTATCCTTGTTTAGTACCTTCGAGCATTTGTAGTAGGTGAGCAAATCTTCAATTGGCGAGTGCTCGACATGTTTTTTGAGAGCGGGTTTGATTGGTGAGGTGTAATTTGGAATGCCATCGATAGTGGAGCTTTTGGTGTCCTCATCTTCATCCAAATTTTGCTGTTGTTCTTCCTCCTCAGGTTGATACAAGGGACCGAACAACCATAACACGTCACTTTCTTTTTGCCTATTTTTGTGCAACGAGAAAATGTGATACAAGATGATGATTAGCAAAAAAAAAGATTATATTTGATTGATGTTTTTTTGTGTATCATCGTGTTAAATGATGAACCAAGCGCGACGAGCAGAAAACCGGTTTCTTGCATATTTTATAATATAGAATAAAAAAAGAATTGGCGTAAAATAAAAAAAACCGTATGAAAAAAAAAACCGGTTTTTCTTTGATTCAGAGGTATCGAAAAGAAACGAAGACAGTAAGACTAAAAAACCAGCCATCACTATTCGTTTAATAAACAAATAGATGATATCCAACTAGTTTAGATAGCTAACTAAAGGGGGAAGTTAAAAAATTCCGCGCCCGATTATTATTGGAACACTTTGCGTACAAAAACTAGTTTGCAAAAAGACCAATAAATTTTCGTCGAAATTTTTTGTTGGGTCAAAATGTTAAAGCTTGTGCGTGTTTTTTGGACACGCGAAGCTTTTTGTGCAAGAAAATTTTTTATATTTACAAAAGGGAAAATTGGGTGAAAATAACAAGAATTTTTGTGTAAGCTTACTGCAGGAAATTATTCCCGCTAAATTAATACAGATAATGTAGTAACAGAACCACGATATGAGTATGTAATGTACTGAATAAAAAAATTGTTACCGTAAAGGGGAGACAACTAAGAGAAAATGAACTAAAAATGGGTAAGACGAAAAAAATAGTCGACGAATAACATGTTGAATGACTTCTATTAGTGTAATAAGAAACCCCCGTTTGTAAGGGTACGTATAAAAAATGGAAACATACGTTCCCAAATAGGAGTTTTAAAAGGGGAAATGAGAAAAAATAAAGTTATGGGTTTGGGTTACACGTAAAGGGAATGTGTACCAAAAGTGTTGAAACTAAATAGTTTAAATTCTTTGAACTCGTTCTCGCTCGCTGATGTCATCAATCAATAATGATTGATCACACGAATCAAAATTAAATTAAATAAGAAAAAAAAAATTCGCAAACTTACCAGTTCAAAGATTGCGGGGAAACCAATCTTCCACTTTTTACAACGCCCATACGGCGCCAGATCGCATTTTCTTGTCGTAATAAACGTTTTTCTTGTAACCATTCCTCGCGTTGCAATTTCTTTAGAGGGTCTTTGACTTTTTTTGTGACCGTTTGACCGGCAGCGTTCACTCTCTTCTCGACGAGTGGAGTAGCGGACGAGAAAGGATTTGCGTTGGTTTTCATTGGCGACGCTTCCGATTTCTCATTGCCGGCATTTTGTTGTTGCAGTTGTTTACGTTGAGCTCTGATAGCTTTTCTGCGTTCGATTTCTTCGTGTTTTGCTACGATGGCCAAGTATTTGTCTGTTTCATGTTCCTCCCGACATTTTGATTTGAATGCAGCTAATTCTTTTTTGACTTCAGCGAAAGTGTATACTACTTCGGTTTCTGTCCATTCATGAGAGTGGCCGAGATAGTCGACGGTATGTGCTGCAGTATAAACAGAGATCGTTGGTTTTTCCATTTGGTTTTTTGTTGTAGTTGAAAGTTGAAAAATATTCTTTGTTGCAGTTGAAGTTGAAAAATATTTTTTGTTGTTGTTTGTTCTTGAGAAAGCGTTCTTTATCGTTATTCGAATAAAAAATTCTTGGGAATTTTTTTGGTTACCGTTTGATGAAATCTGTTGTTTATATATATTGTACATACATTTTTATATGTATATATCATATATATATATATAGTTAAGATAGATAGAAAAGAAGAAATAAAGGAGTGTTAGTTTTATATTTATGAAAAAAATGATGCGAGAGATAAATAAGGAAATACCTTTTAGAGAGTCGCGTTGACAGTGAAAGAGTATTTACTATAATATGTAAGAAGAGGTAGAATAATATACAAATGTATTGAATAATATATTGACTTTTGAGTTCAATATATACCACGAAGGAAACAGAGAAGATTGTTTTTATATACAAAAATAAGTTGTTTGTCGAATTTTTTTTCTTTGATTAGATATTTAACAAGAATATAATATTCAAAAAAAAATTTTATCGTTTCTGAACTATGAGCCTCTGTGTATATATATACTTATTGCAAGATGTTTAGATATACACAACAACATAAAAAACTGAGGTTATACAATATAATTATGTATGTAATAATATAAAAAAGACAAAGTATATTATTATTTTATGTGTTATATGTGTTTTATATATATTTATATTTATATTTATATTAGATATCTATAAATAAAGTGGATTGAACGAAGAAGCCATTAAATTCGAAACCGATTCGAATCTCGTTTTATTGTTCAAATCTCGTTAAATATAGGATAGATGTAATAATGATTATAATAAACAAATCAAAAGATGGGTTGTGTGTATATACTATAAGACGTGTGTGTGTTTAAAGATGCGGTAATGGTTACTTTGTTTTTGTATTTGTGTTGAACACGCGGCACTGACGAAGAGATCATGGTTCACTCTTTTTTTAAAAATTTATTAATAATCAGTGTGCCAAACTATCTAGTTAGGGTTGTTATTAAATTTTTCATGACCCGATCCGGATGAAAAAATAAAAAAAAAAAAATTGTGGCGAATGCCGACGGCAAAAAAAAGAAGGTTGAGATCGAGAGGGAACGAGATTGAAATCCCCAAAAAAATCAGGAATTAATCAGAAATCGAGGAATTTGTCACGAATAAATAGATATAGCATAGAATATTGTTTATAATATGTTGTTTATTTTCCCTTTTCCTTCAAGTTTGCTTATGGTCTTTTGAATTTATTATTTTAATGCAGACTTGTGCCGTTGAAAGAAAAAAATTTTCGTATCTTTCGCGCGGTATCAAATGATGATGTGTTGTTGACGTTGTTGTTTGTATAACGTGTGACCTTTACCCTTATCTATGTTTGATGTTGAATTAGATTTCTTTGACAACCCTGTCTGTCAATTAGTTTGCTGGTCTGCTTAGATGAATAAATGGCTGGGTATTTTGTACCTTACGAACGAGAAGACTGGAATTTATCGAGGACAAAGAAATAGATTGATTACTCTAAATACTAGTAAACAATATCATAAATAAATAAACAAGTATAGTGGGAAAAAGACGAGAAAAAATAAAAAAAAGCGTGGATGCAGCTGAATGGTAAAGACGGTGTAGCAATATGTTTGTTTATGTGCGTGTCTTCCTTCTATGCTCTTGACACGATTTTGCTATTACTTTTACTTTTCCTCTAACAAAAAGGAGCAAAAGAAGAAAAGTGAGAATCACAGATACGCCGCCTCTCGAGAAATTTTTTCTTATATCTAGAATATTTATTATTATTTAATTGAATATTTATGTGTGTATGTATTTAACGCTTGGGAATAGCAATACAAGAGTGAATTCTGGAAACAATTCAAGAGAGATAAGAAGTTAGTCATCTTATTATTCACCAGATACAGATCGGTAATGAAAGCGGCAGAATATCGGTCGGTTCACTTGACATATATATCCAACCTTTTTATTCATTTTTATTTCCCATCGTTTTTTTTTTTTTTTACTTTAATATCGTCGCGCGTCTCGAATCGGATTGTATGAGTCATAAAAAATTTCGAGGGAACGAACTAAAAACTCACCCTAAATTCTTACTTGATGTGATTCAGTATTAGGATTGAGATTAACGCCAGAAAGGCTGATACATTTGAGGTATACATCGGTATCGGTATCCGTATGTAAGACACGACAGACAGACGAGATGACTTTATTGACAGACGGTCACGCAAAATATTATCTTGCACTGTATAACAAAAAACAACAAGACACATAAAATAAGATTGATTTTATCATTAATTGTACACCTATCATATTATTTATATTAGGTATTAGGTTTATTACTTATTATTTAACATTAATTATTAATTAGTTGATTCGTTTAATGCAACAATGTATTGTATTGTATTGTATTGTTTTATATTTACTTTTTTTTTTCTCTGCATATTGTGTTTTGGAATCGGAATCGGAATTGGAATTATGGATTTATTCATTTAGGCGAAATCTCTTTCAATTATAATTGTTAGATTTATTTCACTTTGATTTGTCTCTAGCTAAGTTACTTTGTTCCTAGAAAAATTTTTTTTATCCTACACGTACTTTTCATCTTTGAGACAAATAAACATCTAATTATATGCACATAAGTTATGGCAGATGACCTTTTTCGAAAGAAAAAGCCCGTATTTGGAAAGATTACGAAATGGTTGTGTGTTTGTGTAATAATATGTAGTGTTTAGTATTTCGTTGGTTATATTCGTCTTATAATAATAATAATAATAATAAATAATTATTACGTAGGTTGTCGGGTTTCTTTAAGGAAGTGATAAACATAACCACTGTTGGTTAAACTGTAGAATCTAATCCTATCTATTGTATAAATATAAAATAATTAGTTAGTTAACTAGAGATTCATCTTCTGTGGTGTGTTGCCACGAACAATAATCGTGCGTTTGTGCGTGAGATACTTGTATTTTAGGAAACGATGGACTTTTCCCTTTACATACTGGTGCATACAGTAATTTACATGCATGGAAAAGATTTTAGGTGTTTTTTGTGATCGGGTAAATAGTCACCCAATTTTAATTTTTCCAAAAGAGAGGTGACTATTGAACGAGGGGGTCTGACAAACACATCTTGTCAAATTTAGGTTATTAATTAATTGCAGCAATGTGACTATTCATTGATTGGATTTAGAATTGAATTGACAATTGGATTTACGATTGAGTTTAGGATTGATTGCAGACTTGAATTTTATGTAATAAAGTTTGCATGTACTTCATGGGAATATTTTCGTTTTTTCTTGGAGTATGAAATTACACAAAAATTACCGGTCTATATTTCCACAGCAAATAAAAAAGTGGAGCGGAAAAATTAAACAGAAAATTTTTTATGCAAGTGCACTAACGCCCGTTTTTGATAGTTCGTTATTTATTTTTATATATTTGATAATTATGCGTTATTTTTGCCCATTTACCCGTAATTTACAAGTCAAAAGCACTTATTCACTTCAGCGACGGCGGCGACAACTTGCACTCATTGACATCGTTGATTCTAGACGTGTTTCGTAATTGATTGCATTTGTGTGGGAGTAAAAAGTTGACTTTTAGAGAGTGGATGTGAATACTATTAATATTATTTCAAAATCAAAACGGTATTTCAATTATTAATCGAATGTTTTTGAATAATAATAATAATAATAATAATAATAATAATAATAATAATAATAATAATAATAATAATAATAATAATAATAAGAATAATAATAATAATAATAATAACAATGATAAACAATAACATTAATTAACTTTAAAAAATGGCTTATTTTCTCTGATCCGGAACCGATCCCTCTCTTTCTCAATCTCTTTATTATAATTATGCAAAACCTTTTATTGTTATAAATAAAAACTGCAACAAAAGAGAGATACCATTTGCGTCCTCGTTATCATTGAAAGAAACTTGTATCAAAAAAATTATTAATTAATTGTATGTACTCTATTAATTAATTGGATAAGTAAGATATTTTGTACTCCCTTGGATGAGATGATAGGTCATTAGACTCGAATTAAATGGAACTCATACATCACTGCATAACATCATTGGCCCACCATCATCATCATCATCTTACATTTAGTTATTAAATAATAATCACCCACTGCTTTAAGATCAATTTAACGAGAGAGAACAATGGGTATGTGAATGATCTTTTTATTTCGCCTAAAGATTACTTTAATGGAATTCTCTTGATTTAAACATACTATTAGTTCTCAGTGTACAGCGTACAATAATAAGTACCTTGCTCAACGTTTAGAACATATAATTCTATTTTTATTTATAAAATAACATCAAATTTGACGTGCAATAAATCTAATAATAACAACAACAACAACAATAATAATAATAATAATAACAAGAATAACGATAGAAATAAGTCAACAGATCATACCAAGTCCCTTGCATCAAAAAAGAATGGATCCGGAAAGAAACTTGATAGGTAACCTGTTTTATTTCTTATATGTTGCGGGACTTTATACATCTGTCCTCTTTTCTGGTTCATACATCAATTGGTAAGAAAGACTTTAATTAATTATTTGTTGGGGAGGCGGGGATTTTGATTTTTCTTTAATAGGGGCGCATTGCATTTCTTCATTTAAAAATAGGTAAAGATGAAACTTTAATGATTGTTTAATCAGGATCAAATTCGAATCCCCCATTTAATCTATTATTGTTTTTGTGTACAAAAAAAGCAAGTGATATATATCATGCTTTTAATTGTGTAGAACACAAGAACACAGTATAAAATATATAATAAATAAAACAAAAGATCAGCTGATGATTATACTTGATTTAGAAATTGAAGCAAAAAAATACCTCATATGACACTTTTTACCCTTTTTGGCGTTTTGGTTTTTTCATTCGTCGATGGAAATAAATTGGGTAGACAGATGGTGAATGCAAGTATCTGTTGTGTCAATTGTTGATAGCAAGAATAATTATATATCAAAAGTGTACAGGCATGGAGTTGTGTCTCGGTAGATTTATCTGCATCTCTAATATTACTTAAGTTGTGTTATGTTATTAGTGTAATTAACAGATCCATAATTTAAATCAATCTCTAATCCTGAATCGTCATCCAGTTAGGTTTTTTATGATTTATAAATCAATCATATTGGTTTGACGGGCTGTAACTGCTATTTCTTATTTTGATCGTTGTGTTTGTGCCTCCATACGCCAATACCGACGACTACTCACATCTTATTGCGAGAAAAACCAATCTACAGATATTAATAAACAATACTTCAAATTCTTTTTTTTCATGGTCATTTGTTTCGGCATCATCCCACGTTTTCGTCGGGACAATAAAGAATAGCGATATATTCGGACTAACACGACATACACAAATTACGACAAGTTGCATAAAATCGAATATCACCGTGGAATATTTTTTAGAAACGTGACCAGAAGAATAACGTGATCTGGTGATTCTATTAATTGAGTAAATGATGATGCATCAAATTGTTTGATTAGATGAAAGAACGAGTAAAAAATAATGAAATCAAAAAAGATGGGTTTTCAAGTAAAGGGGATCCAATAAATGCACCCTTCAATGCGTTATGCCACATGACCTCATGTAAATTAATGGTTTTTTAATTAAAAATTTCGCGTAACATCATACACATAATTTATGTGACCATGCAATAGAATCTGCTGATGTTTGATTGTCGATTGTAAACAAAGGTAATTCCATCAAATCACGGATTGACGTGTCATATTACCCACTCTTATTACTATTTTTATCGTTGAATTGGCCCCGGAATCCGGGGAAACGATTCATGCGATAAAACAATGCACAGTCGAACTTTGTAAATGATAGTTGAAAACCTTTTTAAACCATTTTGTGTCTGTGTAAGATAACAAACGCGGATATAGCAAAACTCATCTCACATTTTAGTTTGCGAGAATTTTCTAGTATGATTTTTTATTTTTCTCCCATATTATTTGATTGCACATTTGCAGTACAACCATTTGTTGATATGCATGTAGCGACATCACGCGTTACTTCAATCTACTAAGAAACTATAATATCTTGATTTTTAACTTGACATGATGACGGTTTTCGAAAAAGAAGTGCAAAGACAATCAATTTGATCGAAAATATCACATCTTTTTCTCTCATCTATTTCCGTTTTTGCATATCAACAATGAGTTAATTTGATTTTTTTTGTACTTAGCAATCAATTTATTGATTGATTCCTTTTTTTCTTGAAAACTAAACATATTCAGAAATATCTATGGACATTATCAATATTTTTCTTTTCGAAATTTTTTCAATTCATTTATGCAAAGGTAGTTACGTCTCTCGGACGCTTCCTTTCATGACCTAAATGCGAAACAAAGAAATATTTTTTTTGGGCGTCATAATTGTTTGATTCAGTTTCCATTTTTGGCAATAAACCAAAAATATCCAAGAAGAATAAAAAGGAAAACTAACAAAAGCGCGGGATGATTGCATACATGACATGACCCAGGTCAGATCAATTCATGAATTCATTCAAATTGAACCATGGAAATGGTCTAAATGTGGCATGTTCTTTTGGTTGCTTTCCCAAAAGAGAATAAACACTAACCTAATACTACCAAATACTGACCAGCTTACTGATCTTTTTGCATACTCGCCACGTTATTGGATTATAATAATGATGCATGCGTGCAGTTGATGCAATGTCATTTTATGGACCTCGCTTTTATTGTCGCCTCGTCGTTGTCGATCTTTATGTGAGTGTAGCGTCATTTATACAGCGGTGATTGACTTACAACAGAAAAAAAGAAACAGACGCGGGAATTTGCTATTGGAAGAAAATAAATTGGTGTTCAATCGCTATCAGAAAGTTTTCGAGATTTTGTAACTTTTAATTCGGACTAGCAGATATAGAAATGCAATTTCAAACAATCTAAAGATTAATTTTGTAAAACATAATATTGTGTGATCTATGTTAAAATAAATTTTTGATCCAAAATATATTGTGATATTAAAATAATTATCTCATTTTTACATGATATATATAAATCATGTGTTTATTATATTATTGTGTAAATTAAAGAATATATGTTATATTAGTGAATTCAAGTTGATTATCACAATTCATATATTTAATATATTCAAATTTAATAATATTTAAAAGATCGAATTTAGAAATATTCAGGTAATGACACAAAATTTAATTCTGTTCGTGTGTTTATTATTACATGAAATTATATTATTATGTAGATTAAGAATATATGTTATAGTAATGAATTCAAGTTGAATATTACAATCCATATACTTAAAATATTTTTAATATTTAAAAGATCAAATTTAGAAATATTCAGGTAGTAACACAAAATTTAACTCTGTTTGTGTGTTTATTATGTAATTAATGAATATATTTATATTAATGAATTCAAGTTGAATATTACAATTCATATATTTAAAAATATTCAAATTTAATAATATTTAAAAGATCGAATCAAAAAGGTGCTTCAAAACCCATACAAGTAGTAATACTCTTAGTACATATTATTGAAATATTGCTTATGATAATAAGAATTGTTAACAAGATTTTAATTGTCATGGACGCGCGTTATTGCTAGAAGATGCATCCAGTGATTCGAATCGGTACTTCGGATTTCAAAAATCTACTTACGTTTATGTTCTATTCATTCTGATTACTAGATTCCATTTATATAGATTGTGGGTTTTAAAATAAAAAAGATTATATATTCTTCATATTATGAAAAACGTATAAATATATAGACTGAGTGCAATAGAAACGGTGTAGATTGTATTAGAAATTTCAATACAATTTACATTGTTTCTCTTGCATTCAATCCATATTTACTGATTGCCCATTTTCAAGAAATAATAGACATATAAAATATGACACACAATTTTAGTTATCAGATATGTGAAGGACAATATGAATGTGTCGGACCAAACGCAAACAAACTCTGAAGAGTTTATCCGTGGTCTAGAAATTTTTAATACAAATGATTGTTATCATCCAACGTTTAGTTCGGCAATGATTCCAGAAATAGCGGTTATCGCTTTTTCAATACCTCCTTTGCTTCCTCCAAATACTGGAGATGAAGAAGGCATGTGAAATTTATATAATAAATTAATTATTTCTATATTGAGAAAAACTGACATTTTATATCTATTTATACAGCAGCAGATAGAAGAAGAAGAAGAAGAAGAAGTAAAAGGAAGGGAAGGAGAAGACAAAGACCAATATTGAGACAAAGGCCAAGAATAAACCTGTTTAATTGAATTATTTGACGATGTATTATTATTAATTCTGCATTCTGATGTTTTGTCTTAATTTTTATTTTCGCATTTATTACGATTACGATTCTGTTCTTTTCGATTTCTATTCTGTTATTATTTCGCATTTTTACGCTTCCGATTCTGTTCTCTTCGATTTCTATCCTCTTAATATTTTGCATTTTATTACGTTTCTAATTCTGTTCGCATTTTATTAAGCTTTCCTACTCATAAAATGAATAAATAATTTTATAATATATTATTTTCGTAAAAATAACCGTTTTTGCATAATTCTATATAATTAATATTCAATATTCTTGAAGACAAAAAAATGAGAAAATAATAATAATTGTCGATAAAAACTTGTAATCATCTCTAATCCTATCCTCATCCTCAAAAAAAATTGATTCATTGAATATACATTAAACATAGGTCGATAGTTATCGAAACTAGTTACCGAAACCTTAATTCGAAACTTCCGAATTCTCCATCTTAGAATTCAGAGTTACATTAATATCTTATATGATTTTTGTTCATAAGTCATATTGGTTATTTTTAAAAAAAGTAAAAAACTTTTTATTATCAAATTCACCGTATTAAAAGGTCAAATATTTATTAGGACCAAATGATCTATAACAGGTCATAAAGGTCATATAAGTCATTGGTCAACACTGGCCGAAACTAGTTATCAAAATCTTAATTCGAAACTTTTCATCCTTCATCATTTTAACATAGAAAATGGTCCATTTAAAATGTTTAGAACTTGGCGTTTACGGTTGATTTTATTGATAATAAAGTTAACATTTAGTATTTTACTATCGTAATACATGTATTGCGAGGTGTTATTTAATTTGAATTCCTTCTTTTTCAAATACATCTTTTTTTCGTTCCAGATCATGTTTCAGAAAAAAGACACGATCCCAAAACCAATGTGCCTCTTTCTTAACTACCTCTGATTTTCGCGATATCTTATTTAATCTTCTTCGATGATAATACACTCTTCTTCGATATTTATCTGCCTGAGTTAGGGGTGCAGACTTGTTGTAAAGTTGCAACTCTAGTTACAACTCGCCAATGACGTATTAAAGTTGCAACTCTAAATATTCATTCAACCAACTATTGGATGTTGTATTAAAGTTGGATGTCGTATTAGAGTTGGATGTCATAACTGGAATTGGATGTCGTATCTGAAGTCGGATGTTATATTGGAGTTGGATGTCATATTAAATTTGGCTATTATATTAGAGTTGGCTGTTGTAACTAGAGTCAGATGTTGTATTAGAGTTGGATGTCATACAGTGATTCACTAAAGAAATGGAATGTGGAAAAAAAATGGCGAGATTTGAATATCTTGTCATTGAAGAATTATCAAAGACCAAAAGAAAGTGGATTTTATTCATTAAAATAATCAATACAATTTTTATTTTCATCTATCTTTTACTTTATAAGATAATGATTTTCTTAGCATTCCATGTAATATGACCAATTTGAATAAAAAAGTTCAGGCCTATAAAGTTAAGTATAAAAGCTCTATGGAATACTTTTATTATTCTAAATAATAATTCTAATCATTTTTTAATTTTAAAATATCTCATATTTTCTAAAAAAAAATATATATATATATACTCTTTGATAAGAAGAATATTTATTATATTATCAAAACAGATAGACTTAGCTTCAGTTTAATGTAAAAATAAAGAAAAAAATAGAAATTTTGAAGATAAATCAAAATTCAGTTATTCATGTATTCTTTCAGAATATTACAAATAAAATATTATTTAATTAATATTATCTAAAAAATATATTACTATTGAAATTTCAGTAAAAAGTATATAATATATATTTAAAAGAAATAATTTTTTTATAAAAATTAAATAAAAAAAGCTATTATTTAGAAAAATATATAAAAAACTCTAATTAGAATAAATTAAAGAATATTAAAATTAGATGATTAATAACTAATAAAAAATAATTTGATCTAATAAAAGCAAGTTCTAATTATTTGAATTAGATAAATATAAATGATATTGAAAAAAGTTCTTCTTTATAAATTATTCTAATTGTGAAATATTTTTTGATTATTATGTCTTTATATTTTTTTTGATAATATTTTATAAGTTTTTGATGAGATTTAAATTGAAACTATTAAATAATCAATTAATTATTCTTGAAAAATTATTTTAAAATATTCTTTTACTATATTACTTATATATTTTAAATTATTATCTTGTTGGAATTACTAATTATTTTTTAATATATTTTTAATTTTAAAAATATATTTCCAATCTTAAAAATATATTTCTTTAAATATTAATATAAAAAAAATTAATTATATTTTTTCAAAAGTAAAAAAAACTTATTTTATCTTTTATATAAAATCTATTTCAAGTATTAATTTTTGTTTAGTTTTTTAAAATATAATAAATTAATTATTTATTCTTATTTTAAAATTATATAATATTTTTGAATAGTTAAAAACTTATTTTATCAGAAAATATTATCTAATTCTAATTATTATTAAAATAATTTTATATTTATTTTATATATTTTTTCTTATATATTATTATGAGTATTAATATCATTATAAAAAAATTTTTATTAAAGTCATATTTAGTTAAATATCTTGAAAATATATTATAAAATATTTAAGTATCTTTTTTAAATAACTTTATAATTAATATTTTTAAAAATATTATAAATTTTCTTTAAATAATCTATTTAATAGAACTTGAATATTCAGAAATAATTTTTATAAGATAATTATTATATTTTTTATGAATTATACTTTAAATTTTCTTTAATTTTAAAATATTATAATAAATAATTACTCTTATAATATTTATTAAATAATATATTTTATCTATACTTTTATCATAAAATTAAAAATACTTAATAATTTAAATATAAATATTTTTCTTAATTATTAATATTTTTATTTATTTTTTTTAGAAAATAAATCAATAAAATTAATAAAAAAAGAAAATAAAATAATTTTTATAATATTAAATATCTTATTTTTTATTTAAATCAAAATTAAGTGAGTTATACTAATTTAATTTTGAATGATAATTATCTAAAAACTTTTATAATATATTATAAGTTATTAAATTATTAAATATATTATTAATTCTTTTATAATACCAAATTCTGATTTCTGATTTTAATATAATATTTAATTTTAATATAATATTATTATTATAATAATATAAATTTTTTTAATTTTATAATTTTTCAAACTTTAGATTTTTAATCAATCAATTAATTTTTAAAAAAATATATAATTTCAAATAATTTAATTAATATATTAATTATAAATTCATTATATTTTAGTAATAATTTTATAATACTTTAGTAATACTTCAGAATTATAAATATATAATTAACTCAAAAATTAATTATAGTTTAATAATTGTTCATAAATAATTTATTAATAAATTTAATAATGCTTCAGAAATAATTTAGAAATAAATTTTATTTATTTTTTTTTTACTATTTTTTTTTTAGAATATTTATTATTTATTTTTTTATTTTATTTTATCATTTATATTATTTTTTAATTTATTATATATATCTTATCTTTTATTTTATTTATTTATTTATTTATAGATTTTTATTTTAAAACTTATAATTATATACTAGAGTAATAAACAAGTTATAAGTAAAATATAGATAAAATTTATATAATATCAAAGATATATAAATATTTTTCCTCTTAAATATAAAATAAATATACTTGAATAATAATAATTTCTTTATTCTTAAAAATACTTGAATTATACTTATCTTATAATTTGCTCTTGTATCTTTTATCTTAATATTCTATTTTTATTTATTTCTTCTATTATAATAAATTATATTTTAATTAATTATATATTTTTCTTGTCTGAAAAATATAGGTAATAGATATTCTTTACTTAAAATAAGTCAAGTATATTTATTTAATTTTAAAAGATTCTTATAAGCTTTTTTATATATAAAAACTTTATTTTATTTTTAATATATATTTTTTAATTACTTAATAATTGAAAAAATATTATTAAAAAATTTAATGAGTATATTAAATTTATAATTTTAGTTTAATTATTTTAGTTTTAAATATCTACTCTCTATTATATTTTATAATCATATCTCTTAATTAGTTATTTTTATTTTTGTCTTATATTAATATAATATTTGTAAGTATTATTACTGTTTTAAGATTATGCATATTGTTACTATTTTAAGATTAGGCATATGTAATTATTTTAAAATAGTAATAGTAACTGTGTTCATGGCAGTTATTAACTTTTATAGCTTTAAGAGTTTTATATGACTGATTATTCTTTTAATAAGATGATATGTATAAGATTTATTTCTAATAAAATGTAATTATCTTCTCAATAAGATAATTTATACATTTTTTACTTATAACAAAAATATAATTATCTTCTCAATAAGATAATATATGTGAATTTACTTCTAACAAAATACTCTCTCAATAAAGCAAGAAGAAAATAAGATAAGATATAAGATAAAATATATGTGTTTATTAAAGAAAAATACTAATTAACTACTCTTA